AAACACCTGCAACCAGGTGCACAGAGCGCTTCACAGAGCAGTGTGTTTCAGTTCTAGGCTTGGTCCCGCTTCTCTGATATCTTCAATCAAATTCTTTTTCCTCGAGAAGCCACAGGACCATTGTTCTAAGGGAGCCCCGAAAGAAATCCTGCCCTAGAGTATTGCTCAAAAACGTCAACAACCCCTTGAGAACTATGGATTCTTTGCCTCCCCCTCCACCCCCACTCCCGGATTCTTACTGAGTTTTTTGTATGCCCTTGCCATATATCAAGCTCTTCTCAGCTACGGATTGAGTGCTATTCTTAGAGGAGCTGCCTGGCAAAACAGGCCCTGTACCGGTGTAAGTGCTTGAGAAAAGCCTGAACTCATTCAACCAAATTCATTTAGTGAGTACCTGGCAGTGTGCTGGGCACAATGGATAGAGGTAAATACAGCAGGGTCTCGCCTCGAGGAATGCATGGCCTGGTTGGGAAGGCAGTGCAGCGATGACTATTTGTCACAGAGGAAAAGTCTGCCTTACATGCAAGGTGGGAGCAAAGGACCCAAGGGTGTGAGGCAACTTTACATGCTTTGTTTTCTGGGACAACCCTGCTTTCAAATGTCCTATTCCATTATCACATGGTCTGTCTTTGTTTGGGGGATAAAAACAGGCCCTACTACTTCAGGCACTCTATACTAACAGGGCAGAGTTCAGACTAAATCCAGACGTTGGTTTCTGTTAAAAGTCCTTAGGATGCTTGCTTTAGTTTATGTTTGATTTCTACAGCTGGTTCATCACAGTTGGACATGAGCCAGCCACCCACTTCAGCTTGCTGTCCCTGGGGCTCTGCTCTGAAACATTATTTATAAAATGTTGAATATTGAGTATTATGAACACTCTAAAAAGAAGCATTTAATGGAAGCTTAAAGTTTACAAGAATTTCCAGTAGTAATTCCGGTGATTTTTCACCCCATTTATTTATGCTCCATATAAGCTCTGTGGCCAAAGAGACCTTCCAGAAAGTGAGAGTCACTCAAGCTCTGTCCCCACACTTAGCAGGCTAGCTAGAGGTGACCACAGGTTACATTAAAAAACTAAAAGGCCCAGGAATAATAGCCTTAGTGCTGGATGTCACTACTTTCCAGGGAAAAGAATTGCATGTGAGGAGTGTACCGGCCTCTGCACAGAGAGCCCCTTTTCACAGCTGTGTCAATTTTCCTTTATTGCTGTCAACGCTAAAAAGATTTAGACAGCCATTCTCTCTATGAATGACACTTCGGACTTCAAGCTTTTTAAAAGGTAAGAATAAAGAGCCCTGCAGACGCAGAATTCTTGAGGCCGGTGTGTTATAACCAAAGACTAGACTACAGTTTTAAGTGCAAGTAACAGACTGTATTCTCCATGCAATAAGTACAGATTTCTATTTACCATACGCTACATTCCTTATCACAGAAATATCTACATTAAGAAAAAAACATGAAATGAATAGCCTATAGTATTTGGGCAGAATTAGTCCTGTCTCCCACAATGAATATTTCAAGACATTATAGAATTAGAGCATTCAAATATCAGTCCAATAGGTATCAAAGAATTGCTCCTTTTGAGAAATAGCCTAAGTGTAAATCCTAATGGCCTCCAGCATTGGAGCTTGCTGTTTCCACAGTAGTGTACCACTGTTTATAATTCCGTAACATCACATTTCTCTTCCTAGGGCCATTTCACAGACAGAATGTTAGGTTTCAGGTTTAAAATTACACACGTACTGTACCTTTAAAACTCTATGATTCTGTTCTCTTTTGACAGATGAGAAGCCTACTATTCTAAGAGATTGATTAACTATTCTAAGAGATTTATTAGAGATGTGGCCAGTGGCGGAGAGAACTACCCTCTCTCTCCTTTCCGGATAGGCTTTTCCTGATTGTTTTTCCAATCTTTATCATAAGGTAGTTTAAAACAAAACTAAATACTGGGCTGCTCCCTAATGGGGTCTCCAAATGCCAAAAGATGAAGACGAATGAGCAAGCTTGTGAATTTAGGCATCTATGACATCAAAACCACAGTAAGACTGACGCTTCTTTCTCTCCAAGAGGAGACACACGTCAAACTCAGGAGTGCTTACTAGAGGCTCAGCTTTGCAATCACCACACTAGCTCAAAGACATCTCTGCTGCCAACTTTAAGTAGGTTTTTTCACGAAGCTTTATGAGTGCCTGAGAGAAGACAGTGCCCTTCACACCTCAGTAGCTGGCACTCATAAAAAGATATGGTGATTTTTCTCTTTTCCAGATAGATTCATAGGTCAAAAGATTTTACACACAGTCTCAAATGAATGACACGTGTGAAACACCCAGCCCTCCAGAGAAGCATTTCACCATGGCCCTCTAGCGAGACTGTCAGTCAATTGGACAGAAATGCTCTATTAAACTCCACAACTAGACAGCTCCAATTCAGGGTCGCATGACCTTCAGTTAGCAAGCCAGGAAGTGAGTCTGGAGGATACCATGACTACTGGTTTAAAAAAAAGCCAAACGAAGGAAAAAAAAGCCAAACGAAGAGTTCTTGGGGTGCTTAATTTGGGAGAAGTGATGTCTGACATTGGGACCTCAGGTCTGTTTTGTGAATTTTGGAGAAAGTCTTCAATAAAGTGATAGCCACCAAGTTATGTTTAAAAGTAAAGAACACACTTCTGGCCACACATGCTTTTGTCTGTTTAGAGGAGCAATTCATCCCAAAGCAAAATAGAAATCCTAAACCCAGAAACTAGGGGCCCTCGCTGTCTTTGCCATGTCTGCTCTCTTGCTCTGGTCATACTGTGCTGGTTTACTTTGATGACTTGTCGTCATTAACCTGGAGAAATATCTTCTCAAAACTACTTCTTCCAAAATGTTCTTAGAAAAACGTGACTAAACAACCCTAAGATTCCATCAAGACATAATAAAATGTGTTATCCCAAAAGTAGTTCTTTAGTATCACAATAATTTATTATGTTTTAAAAACTTAAGTATTTAAATCTCCCTTAAAATATTTTTACACAATCTTTTAAAATTATGTACAAAAAAAGGTCTGCTATTCAACTCAAAGGAAAACCTACGCTGAAAAAAATCAGACAAAAGTTGATAGTACATTCTCTTCCAAACTACTCTTTTCCATAAATCGGACAGCGGCCTCCTTACAACCACATCAAAATGAAAACTTGTGTCTTTTGAAGTCACAATTGCATTCATCTTCTTACAGGAAGACAAATTGTTTATTCTTCTAAAAGTCAAATATCTAAATTTCTCAAGGCAAGTCTCCACCAGTCCGAGCTCTGGTATGACACTGAACTAACTAGCATGGAAGTGTGTCACCCTTTTTAGCTTCCATTACAGTCTTTTTACCATCTCTAGGGCTTTAAAAGACTGAAAACAGATGTCTGAGTTCCACGAGGGGCCTGCTGATGCCTGGGAAAGCCGAGGAGCTTCCGCATCACAACTGTCGACATTCCCCTTCCTATAGCTACACCCGAGCTGGAGTGAGCTCACCACAGGAGACTCTTGTAATTCCTTCGCCAGGGCAGAGGGTTAAACAAGGCTTTGGTTTTTATGCTTTGAATCCAATTTCTCTTTTATACCATTTAAATAAGGGTATAAGTAGCTTTCTGAGATTTTTTTTTTTTTTAAAAAAGGAGCTAGGGCACAGAGCAGAGCCATTGAACATGGGAGGGTCTGGAGTTGCAAACCTGTTAGCAGAAGACGCCCGCGCTCATCTTACTTCTTGAGGAGATTTCAGGGCAAGCTTGTCTATTACCTGCTACTCTAGCTTTAGTTCAGAGCACTTCCCATTTTTTTATGATCTAGATAAAATTAGGAAGCACTGTTATGGTTCAAGACATTCAAGAAATATGGATTCTGGGTCCAGGTGTGTGACCCTGGGCAAACTTCTTAACCTCTCTGGACTCCCTGCTTACTTATCTGTCAGTCAGTATGTGTACCTAATTACAGCATACAGATTTCAGCCCACCGCAGTTTTACAAAGCACTCGCACATACTTCAGTGCATCTGATTCTTACAATAACCCTGTGAAGTAACAGGGACTATTATCCTCGTTTTATAAAACTGGACAGCGAGGCTCAGGGGCTAAGGGACACACTTTCAATAGCAGCCAGAAAGTAGGAATGGGGCCAAACACTCAACTTCTGATTCCAATCAAATGCTTTTCTTACTACATCATGTTGCGTGATCTTTCTAGTTCCAACAGTATTAAAATGCCACAATTTAAAAAAATCTCTGTCACCCATCATGATCCACGTCACTCTGTTTGGAACCTGATGTGTATACATTGGGGAACAAGAAGCATATGAGTAAGCACTCTCACATAAAAACTTATGTTTTCAATTTAATTATTTTGCTGTTCTGTTCTTTACTGGATGCTGAATGCTAACTAATAAAGATGCTTAGTACTACGGTGAGGAATCTAACACATCCTACTTTTTGTAGAAATACTCATGTGTGAAAGAGTCTGGAATGCATACTCTACAGTTAAATTAGAAGTGCCTACAAACTGTTACTTTAGTGAGAAAAAGATGAAGAAACGATAACATTATCGAAGATCAACAATGGCAGTGTTGGACCTGAGAGTCCAAGAAAGTCCTTTGGCTGGGTCTTTAACCTCGAAGTTTGTGTGACCTAAGGTCCCTCTCCTCCCTTCCCTGCTATCTTCATCCATCAAGTAGGAGGACCTGCGTCACAGGTCAGCAAGGGTGACTGGATATAAAGAAGAATGACATCTCTGAATGTGTACGTTCTTTTTACTGGCAATAAAATTCCTGAGCTGTCAGCACATTGTTGGGAGGGGCACCTGACAGCCCTATTGGTTCTGCAGGTAAAACTCTGAGATGACTTGGTTGGGTGGGAGCCATGTTACTGGGCACCACTGCTCCATGGGTCTCAATTTCTCCACGTGGAGTAAAGTTCAGTTAATAAAAGACAGCCTCCCCCCAGTCATCCCCACTTTGCTATTATGCCATAGCACTGGGCACTGACCTGCTTTGCCCACTTCCCCTTTCCTCAGTGATCCTTCAGCCTGGCACCCAGCTCTGAGATGAGGCCTGCTTAGCACCAGTGAAGTTCCCCACGTTCAAACCAACAACGTTCTGTGTGGAGATGAGGGAATCAAAGTTAAAATCCAACCCATCAGCATCCATGAGTTCACTACGGATGATGGACTCCATGTCACATTCCAAGCTCCCATTGAACATGTCCAGGTCCAAGTCGCTGGGGAACTTCTCATGGCCCATGACGGAAAGGTTTGCACTAGTTGAGTACAAGGAGGAGCCTGAGAGAGAGTCCGAGAGGGTTTGCATAGACTGGCTGACAGGAGACTGCTGCTGGTGTTTGGCTGACCCAAGGCTGCTGGAGTCGCTCAAGCCCATGTTGCTGACAGAATTCGACAAGGCACGGCTGCCACCGAGAGCGCCCTGAGTTTGGTGCTGGTGGTGGAGCAAGTTCTGATTGACCAAACTCCCCTGGTTAGGCTGGGCAGCAAAGGACATCATTGGGTCATTGCGAAGCATCACGTTTCGGCGGGAATTCTGGGCAGACACAGCGGTGCTGGCCTGAGACATCAAGGGGTCCGACTGGGTCATCATGACATCGCTGTGGCTGAGTGAGTCTGAAGCGAGCAGGTCCTGGAGTGTCTGGGTGCTATAGTGTGACATGGAAGAGAAGGTGGCTGGCTTGTTCTCTTGGATGGTCTGCATGGGAGACTGACGCAGGGAATTCAGAGATGAGGGTCCAAACACCGTGCTGTTAAAGGAGCTGGCTGGAGAGCCCAGGCCAGAGCCCTTGGTGGTGTACGGGAAGCTGGAGCTCCGCTGCATGAGCCCTCCGGTGGGGGATGGCTGGGATGACGGGAGCGTGATGTTATCCAGCAGGTCATCCATGAGGTTGTCAGCCAGCCCATCATTCAGATTCATGGTGCCCGTCATGTCGGTCAGCCGTGGCAGCTCCACGGTGCACGGCTTGCTTACAGAGGGCGAAAGGCTGGCTGAGCTGCTGTAGAGCATGGGGGAGAGGGGTGCGTCATCGTCCTGGACGTCATCCAATTCTGTGCTCGCCAGGATGGGTGACAGACGGCCGCTGACCGTGCTGGCATTGGAATTGGTGCGCGAGCGGAAGTCCGTCCATGCATCCAGCTCATCGCTGCTGCGCGAGGTGGGGCTGCCAGGCCACTTGGAGAGCTGGGAGGGACTGTCGTCCGCTGACTCAGGAGCCGTCTGCAGGGCTGCCTTCTTCTTGGCTGCGCGGCTTCGGCTCTTGCTATACTTGTTGCTGTTGTCCATGGAGACAGCCCGCCGCCGGGGTGCCTTCCCACTCTTCCCTCCGTCAGGGTTGATAATCCACCAAGAGCTCTTGCCGGTCCCCTCGTTCTGGACACGCATGAACCGGCTATGTAGCGACAGGTTGTGCCGGATAGAATTCTGCAGAGAGAGAGAGGAAAATGCGGAATGTGAGCCAGAATGGTCCAAAAACTGAGTACCAAGAAGAAATAGTTAATCAGACTCAATTTTGAAGGCTGCTCAATTTCAGAGGCTTAAAAAAAAAAAAAAATCAAACCAAAACAAACGACAAACACCTGCATGACCTTCCTTGGCTTGGAGTTAAATGACAACACTGTAAATGGCAAGTTTCATATTTAGGAGGTGGGAGATGGTTTCACACCCAGGAGATGCATAGGCTCACTGACATTCCTAAGTTTTGCTATCCTTTCTGTAATCGTATTGTCTATACCGAAGTTCACATTTATAATTTATTATCACACCACTCTCTCCCTGCACTTTGCAACAAACCTCCCTGGCTCTCTAAGGGTAATTAATCGCCTGGGGGCCTATTTTACTCTCATGATCCCTTCCACTAGAGTTGAGGAAACATCTACCTTTTCTTAAGCACTTCTACGAACTCAGAACTGGTGTGAATTTTTACCTATTTTCCAACTCCTCCAGGCACAATTTCACACCTGACAGGCATAAAAAAAATGGCAAAGTAGGATTTGCTGAGTTGACAGAAGTAGGTGAGTCTCTTATTCAGAAAAATTCTAAATAATTTATATGAATACTTTCCTCTCCAGGCAATGTGGTCTGAGCACGGTAACGTCTTTCCAAAGAACAGAGTA